CCGTGGATATCTGCATCCACATCTGCAGATGCAGCTACTCATGGATATAAAGTGGATATCCATGGATTTGCAGGGCTCTACCTATTGGGGTATTGCATGACATTTTGGGAGCTGCATCCCTTTTTTTCCACCATCACTCCATTTCCTCCCCTGCTGTGACATTTTCCAGTAACCCCGGAAATTAATGGCCATACACTTCCCCACACCTGTGTAAACCCTATGAAAAATATAAATCCATGCGCCAACCCTCTTCCTTACCTGAAAGCTAGACTATGCTTCCCTTCATTAGGTTATATTTATTCCTCCAGAGCATCTGAAACAACAATATTCCAGAGGGAGGACACACATAAACCACATAGTTGCAAAGGGGCAATAGGAATGTTTTAATTAATCATTTCTTCCGCCTCATCACGTTACACTGGTGGGAGGCAAAGCACTTCTCCCAGTTCAACTCAGCTACTGACTCACTGCCAAAGGTGAATCTCAGAATATCTTTATAGCCTCAGGAGGGCTTGTCACAATCTGCAATGAATCTGAAAGAGCAAAAGAGTACCCCCTAATCTCCATCCCCAAAGCACTGCTCTTCTACATGTTAATTGCTATTTCGGCGGCAGCTGGTTAATTAAGTAAAGTGTCAAAATATATTCCTACTAGAAGATTTACCTGATGTTGCTCAGGTCCTTAATTCAATTATTTAAAAACAATGAAACGAAAATGTACATGCTTAATTTAAATCATTGCTCTGGCGTGAGGCTGGGGATGAGCAGTTCAGGTGCAGGCTGGCCCTGGGAGAGAGGACTGTCCAGCCCTCTCTCACAGCAACAGTTTGGGGCCAGGTGAGAAGCACCTTTCCATGGCTGCTGCAGCTCCACCAGGCACAGCTGGAGGAGGGCTGCATGTCCTCCAGCTGGGCCAAGTCCAGGTTTGTCTCCTCCCTGAGCTCTCCAGCTAGAGTGAGGATTGCAGCAAACTGCACTTTTCCCTCGCTCCCTAATGAAGGGAAACAGACAGCAATGTTCTTCCTTTACAAATTGCAGGGAGGGATCTTCAGCTTCCCCCTCCCCCCCCCCACGTCCTCCCTACAAGTGCCTGGGGGGTGGGAGGCTTGGGCTGGGGCAGTCTTGGGGGGGCACCCCCTGCCAGTCCCTTTCACCTGCCTGGTGATTCTGTCTCTTTTCAGTATGGTTTTCTGAGAAGCAATTGAATTCCAAGCATATCTCATTATCCTGGCACAACCAAACCTTTACCTTGCTTTAAGTTATGTTGAGAGGAAGTTGTATCAAATTTGGTGGTCCTAGCTTTTACCATTTAGGAGGAGTTCTTGAACAAACGACAGACTTTTTCAAATATATAGTAGATCTTCTGTTCTGTCCATCTATACGGTGACATTAGCATGGGCAAAAATTGCTATTGACAGAGAGAAATTTTTCTTCCCTTAATTCACTGTTACCAAAGAGTCTACAGCAAAGGGTCCAAAGAAAAACAATATGACTGTGGACTCAAGGGACAACTTTGCCGTACCCCAGAAAGTATCTATACAACTCCCCTTCTCTCCCTATTTGCTAAAGGGATTCATAGTGCATGAACATATAAGAGCTGCAGCCAGTTAATAAGCCGTGAGGTTATGCCATATGGAGGAAGAACCAACAATAATTAAAGCAGGTTCATGCTGTCAAAAGCTCTGTCCTGATCCCAAGCCAAAACATAACCCTGCCACTTTCCCCATCACTCAGACTATGGCTACACTGCCATTTTTTTGCGGAAGAGGTATGCAAATCGTGCTTGCATTTGCATATCTTCTTCCGATTCTTTTTTGCAGAAGAGGTTTTTCCAATAAAAAGCCCTGTGTAGATGGGGCCATTTGTCGGGAAAAAAAACCCCTCTTTCACAAGACCCTGTAAACCTTGATTTACGAGGAATAAAGGGTCTTGCGAAAGCGGTTTTTTTCAAATATTTCTCACAAGTGTCTGCCAATGTACAACCTTTAACTGCATTAGACTGATTGTGATATAGTTATTTCCTTGCTACTTTTCCTCAATCTTTTGGCTAGCATAGAAGTCAAAATATAGTAATGTGTCCCACAAGTTCCTGATATTTTCCAAATATCATTTTTTTGGTCAAAAACATAAAGGGCTTCATAAAAGAGTCCTCTGTGCCTCTAGTCAATCTATTACTCCTGGAGGAATTTTGCACCACTGCACAGATGCAGAATTCATGTCTCCTATGGATTTCTTTGTTTGTCCAGCAGAAAAATGACTTTCTGACAGGAAAACAAAGGGAAGCTCCAAGAGTGGTCATACACCCATTCCTAGCAGCACAGGCACCAAGAGCAGCTGATGGAGAGATGAAGCACCATGGGGCTAAGGACACCCCAACCACAGGCTCCTATTAGGATCAGTTGCTCGAACTGGCTGGGCTAGAAGCAGGAGAAAATGGGACTTCCTCTTCCCCTGCAAGGAGTGGTTGGGGCTGTGTCAGATCCACCCTGCAGAAGCCTCTGCCAGCAGTAGGAAGCGCACTACCATCCCCTTCTCCCTGCCCCCATCACTCCTCAGCTGTGAAGCAAAGGGTCACTGTATGGGGAGCTGTTCCTGCATCTGCCCAACCCTGGGCATCTAGACCTACCATCCCTAGACATGCCTGCCAAGCCTCACCTCATACATCCAGAATCCCCTAGCCCTCCATACCTGAACCTCAAACCCTGCATCCAGAGCCCCCTACGCTTTCCCCATCGCTCAGTTTCAAATACTTGCACCTCTTCATAGCACCAACTATCTTCAGACCTCCCACCCCTGTAACCAGACTATCCCCCACTGAGATCTTTCACTCAAATACCAACCTGGCTAGCCACATCCCCTGCACCATCCTGAGCCCCCACATCCAGACTCCCACATTGACCCCAACTAGCTACATTCACTCCCACCCCACCACCACCCCACCAAGCCCTACTCCCCCAACACCCAGACCCCTCTCCCCTGCTGATATCCTCATGCCCAGACACCCTCCCTGAGACCCAACCACCATTACCTGGAAGCCCCTGCAGTATCCCAATGCCCCAGCACTAGAACAGCCCCCGACAAGACTCAATGTATGCAGATCCCTCCACCCCAGATCTCCCCCCACTGATCTGTCTGTATCCAGATTATCCCACCTAGAACCCTCTCACCCCACCCGGATTCCCCCACAGTGTGCCCCTTCACACTTGACCCTGCCTTGCTGAGCCTGCTTGCCTCACACCTGGTGCACCTGGCATAAAAGGGCAGGGCCCCAGGCTACTTCTGGGGCAGGTACAGGCCTTGTGCTGTGTCAGGGGTGGGTGCAGTCCCATTACTGAGTCCATGTCCTGAGGGTTGCCGGAGTGGGGCATCAGGTGATCTCCTACTTTCATGCAACCCGTGGCCTATGTTCCGCCCAGCCATGCTGGAGCCTCCACATTTATTTATGGACAAATAAAACTTGCAGAATTTTAAAAATATTGTGTGCAGAATTTTTAATTTTTTGGCACAGAATACCCGCAGGAGTAAGCCAACACTGAAAGCACGAGAGCGCCGCAGAGGGGGGAATCCACAAACCTCTCATAAAATTCTGCTGTCGACTCCGGGGGAAGTTCCCTTGTGCAGTAATAAGATAGAGGCATGAACCTCACTTTCTTCTATTGGCCTCACGAGTGAATCTTGTTCATCATCTGCCAGTGTTGGGAAATCTGTGATACTATCCAAAAACTGCTGCTGTGGAAAGGAAGAATGGTTTCTTCCCCAAAGATTGCACTCGTAATACTCCTGAACTATCCTCAACATTCCAGCAGGGTCCTGTGGATGTGTCCAGCACTCACATCCCATAACCCCCTCATATCTTGCTGTAGTCTCTTTTCCTTTTGTCCTGAAGTCCTTTGCAAATTTATCTGATTCCAGCTTTCTCCTTCAGTGCTGAACCATTTCCTTCTTAATTTCTTCTAAGACCTCTTAGTTCTGTGCCTTTCCCAGCTTGCAGTCAACTATGAAGATCGCTCAAACCCCTCTGCAATACTAAATAATGCTTGTAATCAGATATACAGATGTCATGAAAAGGAATATAGAAAGGTCACCAGGCTCCTCTTAGCCAGTTCCCACCATTCTGTATGGGATGCATAAAAATTTGCGAACTGTCTCTTGTTCAATAAAGGTGTCTTCAACCTTTCTATATGCTACTGCATTATTAAATACAGGCAGTCCCCGGGTTACGTACAAGATAGGGACTGTAGGTTTGTTCTTAAGTTGAATTTGTATGTAAGTCGGAACTGGTACATATTGTAGGGGAAACTCTAGCCAAACATTTCTCCAGAGCTCAGTTTTATTCTCCCACACCTCACTTCCCTCAGTCCTTTATTCGCAAGCTGAGGTGTCTGCTGAGAAAAGCCGCTCCACGTCTCCCTGGTCGGCTGGGAGGGGTGCTAGCTTTGCGTCTCCCTGGTCTGCTGGGGGGAAGCAGCTAGTGCGGGGTTGCCTCACCCCGTTTGTAAGTAGGGATCCGATGTAAGTCGGATCCATGTAACCCGGGGACTGCCTGTAATTCCATCCATCTCCTACTATCAGACGATGACTCAGATGAGATTTTAAAAGCCAACTAGGGAACGTAACCCTATAGCTCCCATTAATTTCAGTAGGAGTTGTGCAGCCAAATCTCTCCTGCCCTGACCCTGCAATTTGATAATGAATGGGTGGGATTCTCCCCTGTAGAATCTCATTGACTTCTAAAGGGTTCCATTCACAATCATTGTCAGGCTATCACTTATACTTAGCTTTGGGACCAGATCCCCTGGCTAGCTCTGAAAATCACTGCTTTTACTTGGTGGAGCCATTTAACTAATTGATCCATTTAACTACTTTCAATTACAGATATGTAATTACAGTTTTGCAGAGGAGTGGTTCAATCACAAGCCAAATTGAGTCAAATTTGTACAGGCCTCTAAACCAGCACTTGCAGATTTTGTGCACACAGAATCCCACAACTGTTGAGGTGGGGGGCGGCAGCGGGCATGGGGAGGCACTTTTCCTCTGCCCGGCAGCTCTGCGGGACCCCAGTCGGAGCCGGCCCGAGGAGGAGGAGGATCCTAGGACCCAGGTGAGCTAGCCCCGGGAATGCTGCTGCGCATGTGCGGGAGTTGCCTCACCCCGTTCGTATCTAGGGATCCGACGTAAGTCGGATCCACGTAAGTCGGGGACTGCCTGTAAACCCGTATTTAGTTTCCATTTACCATGGCCAAACTTCACTTTTCTGTACTCCCCGAGTTCAACTTAGATGAAACGGTGATAAATAAACCTATAGGCCGCACACTGCAGCATCTGCTCACTGAAAATAGCTTTCCTATATACCCCTTCCAATCAACCACTTATTTCCCCTCCAAAAGAGGTCAATGCCCCCCCTTCCTTAAATGAGACTGCTTAAAAATATCAAAGTTAGTGGAATCACAAAGGGTACGTCTATACTGCCATGCTATACCAGAGTATCCCGCAATAGCTTTCCTGTGTCTTCACGGCAAGCCTGTTACTTCAGGCTCACTATTCTGACATTCCTGTAAACCTCATTCTATGAGGAGTAAGGGACATTTCAGAATAGTGCTTTATTTCAAAATTTGGTGGTGTAGACAATGTCAAATGACGAAATAAGCTATTTTGAAATAGCATTGAAATAAGATACGCAATTTGTGTAGCTCAAATCGCGTAGCTTATTTTGAGTTACGGTGCAGTGTAGACGCACCCAAACTGATCGTAAGTTTTATCAGCTCATAACCTTTTGGGTTGCTTTGCTCTGTCAGTCACTGCAGCTAGCCAACTAAAATCCCCCTTTAAAAAAAAACCCTTGAGCCATCAATAATAAAGGAGCAATAACAGTAAAAAAAGCTCTTTCCTTAGCTTGTGATGCTGTGGGTGACAGAGGGGACACAATGCTTCACACCCAAATAACAAAAATTCATTAGTAGCCCTCTTCCTAGCTGAAGTTCTACCACCTTCTGCACTGATACTAGATGTATGGGAGGAGCTGTTGCATTGTATTATTTACTTGGGCAAGTTCAATGGTGCCTGTAAATTCACCATTCCAACCCCTATATCAAACATAACCTTTTACTAGGGGCATCACAGAAACAAAGCTCATAACATCAGCTGATAGAGCCACAGGATCTACCAGTCAGTGGGTAGTATCTTCTGCACATCACCATTATCATGTCCAATGAATTTACTCGGGGCTGCAGCTCTTTTGGCTGGAAGAGGAAGAAAGAATGAATTCTCACTCTGTCTGGCTACGTCTAGGCTGCATTGCTTTTCCAGGATATCTCTGGTATCCCGGAAAAGCTATGCTGTGTCCAAGGAATGTGTCTGCTTTTTCGAAAATGTTTTCGAAAAAACGGATGCGCTCTTTCGCCATCCCTGTAAACCTTATTCTGCGAGGAATAAGGGATATGTCGAAAGAGCACTTTTTTCCAAAATTTGGTGCCATGTAGACGTGCCACATTTTGGAATAGCCTCTTTCTAAAGTAAATCGGAGAAAGATATGTTTTTTTTTCCAATTTAACATTGCAATGTAGACCTAGCCTCTGTCTCTATATAGTCTCTATATTACAATACATGCATGATAGGGTTGCCAGTTTCGGCTGTTCATATTCCTGGAGATTTCATCGCATGACATAGTCTTTAATTAAAGATTAATTTTTAATTTCTGAAGACACCAGGGCAATTCTGGAGGGCTGGCAACCTTAATGGATGATAGAGTCAGTGTAGCAAGGAAGGTGTTGGACTGGGACTCAAGAATCCTGGGTAAACACAACACTCAAGGGGTGTTATGAGGATAAAACCTATTAATGATTGTGAGGGGGGGTCAAACAGTGATGTGGGTCATAGAAACACCTAGGTAGGTAGTACCAGCATGTCTCTCTAACCTTGGAAAACCTTCTGCAAGCTTAACCCTGCACACTTATGAGATTTACAGATGACTCAAACTGTGAGGAAGTGTGGAAAGCCCAGAATTAACACACGGGCTGATGAAAGAAAAGTACAGAAGTTCAGCAAACAATGCAGTGAAATTCAGCCTTTAATAGATTCCAAGGCCAGAAGGAACTACTGTGATCATCTAGTGTACCCTCCTGTCTATCACCATCCATTGACCTTTTCCAAAATCATTCCTAGGGCAGATCTTTTAGAAAAACATCCAATCTGAATTTAAAAAAAATGTCGGTGATGGAACATCTATCACAGCTCTTGGTCATTTTTTCCCATGACGGTTAATTATTTTCACTGTTCAAAATGCTTTATTTCCAGCCTCAGTTTGCCTAGCTTCAAGTTTTGGATTTGAAATACAGATTTTCAATGGAAGGGAGAAACCTGCAAAACAGTATTGCTGTTACATAGCAAGTTAGTTGTGAATTTGCCCTGGTGATTTGGTCATAAGGAAAAGGCCAATGCTAAGGTGAACTGTATGAAAGAATAACACAGTCAAGAGCAGGGAGGTAAAAAGGTCTTCTCTGAAGTGCTGTGGACCAACCTGTAAGTTGCTTAGGGTAGGGACTGTCCTTCTTGTTTGTACAGTGCCTGCGGTCTTAGTCCATGAGCAGGGATTCTAGGCACTATGGTAAAGCAAATTAGAAATGCTCTTAATATTGAATAACTGGAGGGGATTCAGGGAAGCTAAATAAAAAAATTCTTGGCACTGGAAGGAGTGACTTCTCAACAAAGAAAAACAACAGAATGTGTCCTACTTGGCTAAGTGATGACTAGGGAAGAAGAGGGATTGTTTAGTTTAGTACCAGCAGGTAAAGGAATGAAATTAACTTAAGAAAGGGAAAAATTAAGCTATCACTCTGAATTTGAGATGCATTAGGTTGTGTAATAATCTATCAAGGAGCTGAACAAAATGGACCCTGCCCTAAAGATTTTAGACTAGACAAATGCCATCCTACATTGGCCAAGGGAAGATGGACTTGGTTGTCTAACAAGCCTTTCTATCTCTAATGTTTGTGACACCAGGAGAAATAAATGAGATGGCACACATCAGCCATGGACCAGCAATGTGTGATGACAAATGACCATTAGGGACAAAGCCTTGTTTGTGAAGTTTATTTGTATCCGTTTCTTTGCTGTCCAGTGCCAGGCAGGTCCTCGCTCTATTGCTGGGACTGGTAGCAGACACACCACCACACTGTAACCGGGGGAGGGAGCAGCGCTTGGCCTGCCAGGAACCATTTGGGCTTGGATCTTAGCATGTGTTTGTGAGTCTTCCCTTCTTCTGTCTGTCCCTGTGTAGGGGGACAAGAGTTCAATTCGGTCCTCATCCTGGAAGTGCCTAAATGCCAGAGCACAATATAAACTGGTAGAGAGAGACAGCCCCGTGGGACAGTCGATAAGACCAGACTCAGTGAGCTGCCTGCCTCACCATAATTGTCTGCAACGTTTGCCTGCCTTTTTGTAGCTTGTTTGCAAAGTGACCGTGGCTGCTTGCACATGTCTGTAGTCCAGGTCCGCCTGTCCCTCTGCAATTTGCGCGACAGGTCTGTCTGCACCGTCTGCCCCTCTGTCTGTGTCTACAAGGCGTCTGCCCCCTTTCTGCAACGGGTCTGTCTGTCTGCAACATCTTTCCCCTTTTTACAATCTGCCTGCAACGTCTGCCCCCTTTCTGCAGGGGGTCTGTCTGTCTGCAACGTCTGCCCCCTTTTTACAATCTGTCTGCAGAGTCTGCCCCCTTTCTGCAGGGGGTCCATCTGTCTGCAACGTTTGCCCCCTTTTTACAATCTGTCTGCAGAGTCTGCCCCCTTTCTGCAGGGGGTCCGTCTGTCTGCAGAGTCTGCCCCCTTGCTGCAGGGGGTCCGTCTGTCTGCAGAGTCTGCCCCCTTGCTGCAGGGGGTCCGTCTGTCTGCAGAGTCTGCCCCCTTGCTGCAGGGGGTCCGTCTGTCTGCAGAGTCTGCCCCCTTGCTGCAGGGGGTCCGTCTGTCTGCAGAGTCTGCCCCCTTGCTGCAGGGGGTCCGTCTGTCTGCAGAGTCTGCCCCCTTGCTGCAGGGGGTCCGTCTGTCTGCAGAGTCTGCCCCCTTGCTGCAGGGGGTCCGTCTGTCTGCAGAGTCTGCCCCCTTGCTGCAGGGGGTCCGTCTGTCTGCAGAGTCTGCCCCCTTGCTGCAGGGGGTCCGTCTGTCTGCAGAGTCTGCCCCCTTGCTGCAGGGGGTCCGTCTGTCTGCAGAGTCTGCCCCCTTGCTGCAGGGGGTCCGTCTGTCTGCAGAGTCTGCCCCCTTGCTGCAGGGGGTCCGTCTGTCTGCAGAGTCTGCCCCCTTGCTGCAGGGGGTCCGTCTGTCTGCAGAGTCTGCCCCCTTGCTGCAGGGGGTCCGTCTGTCTGCAGAGTCTGCCCCCTTGCTGCAGGGGGTCCGTCTGTCTGCAGAGTCTGCCCCCTTGCTGCAGGGGGTCCGTCTGTCTGCAGAGTCTGCCCCCTTGCTGCAGGGGGTCCGTCTGTCTGCAGAGTCTGCCCCCTTGCTGCAGGGGGTCCGTCTGTCTGCAGAGTCTGCCCCCTTGCTGCAGGGGGTCCGTCTGTCTGCAGAGTCTGCCCCCTTGCTGCAGGGGGTCCGTCTGTCTGCAGAGTCTGCCCCCTTGCTGCAGGGGGTCCGTCTGTCTGCAGAGTCTGCCCCCTTGCTGCAGGGGGTCCGTCTGTCTGCAGAGTCTGCCCCCTTGCTGCAGGGGGTCCGTCTGTCTGCAGAGTCTGCCCCCTTGCTGCAGGGGGTCCGTCTGTCTGCAGAGTCTGCCCCCTTGCTGCAGGGGGTCCGTCTGTCTGCAGAGTCTGCCCCCTTGCTGCAGGGGGTCCGTCTGTCTGCAGAGTCTGCCCCCTTGCTGCAGGGGGTCCGTCTGTCTGCAGAGTCTGCCCCCTTGCTGCAGGGGGTCCGTCTGTCTGCAGAGTCTGCCCCCTTGCTGCAGGGGGTCCGTCTGTCTGCAGAGTCTGCCCCCTTGCTGCAGGGGGTCCGTCTGTCTGCAGAGTCTGCCCCCTTGCTGCAGGGGGTCCGTCTGTCTGCAGAGTCTGCCCCCTTGCTGCAGGGGGTCCGTCTGTCTGCAGAGTCTGCCCCCTTGCTGCAGGGGGTCCGTCTGTCTGCAGAGTCT